TGTGAGAGCAGCTTGGCCTAGAGCACTACAAATAGCCTCTTTAATAGGATAAGTTCATGAAGAACGATAAACTTCAAAACAAGTTGTTCTAAATCTGGAGTGTGCTTCCAATTCACTAAATATAACATTGAGAATTGTTGAAAATGCTTTGCCACCATCAGTATCCCTATGCCTGACAAAGATGCCAGCATACCAGAGAAATAATGCCCAAGAACAAAACAACAGGCCATATATGGATCCAATACCCACTTTTTTTACAATTCCACTCTTTTTCCCCAAATTGACAGCTTTTGTGAGTGACCTGGAATATTCTTCAATTGCTTTGTCCTCCCCCACAAAAGAATACACTGTACGAACCTATGAAATAATCTGATCCATGGAAAGAGAAAATTATATCAGTTCAATGCATGTGAAACAAGATTGCATCATTGGAAGACTAAAAATTTTAGTTAACTTCATGGGCCACTAATTGGAACTTAATTGATGTCATTTGGCTTCAGATATGCTAAAATAATATTCTCAGCCATATGCAACAGGATTTGTATTCTTGTCATAACCCTCCAACATAGACTAAAAGGGAAGCAGGTAATATCCTAGAAAAATATACTGAAGAGTTCTGTTTACCAGGCTAGGTCAACTCTAGTACTTGAGTGAGGGTATTGTCACCGTGCAATCAAGCTTTTAAACTTTGAAGGCAATATCTATACAGTACCACATTAGGGAATGCAAATCTTGATCTGAGACAAAGGTAGGAGTTTACCTCTTTTGCAACCTTCCCAGCTTCAGCATAAGCAGCCTCACCTTTTCTTGACAAGGTTGACATGATTATTACATACCCTCCACCAGAAATAACCATCGATGGAACAATAGCCAAGATGAAAAGTGAAAGTTGCTATACTGTTGTAAATCCTATAATAATGCCAACACAGAACTGAACAAGGTATCACAAAGCATGGCCTGCCTGCATTTAGATTTAAAGGAAAAAGGAAACACAATTTTAGTGGTCTTATTCAGACATCAGGTTATTTGGTCATCCACCAGTTTCCCTATATATACATACACATTCAGTTATGTACCTTATCACCTATGGCATCCTGCATGAGTATAGCATCACTTGAGATACAAAATATGATGTTTGCATCCCTGGTTTCTCTATCAAAGAAGTCAATATCTCGTTTCAAGACAGATTGAAGATATTTCAATCTCAAACAAGCCACCTATCTCTCTCCTGTTTGCATCCAGAATGCAATCAATACCTTAGATCCATGTAGGAAGGGCTTAATACAACCAGAGGTAAGAGGAAATTCCTTCGTAGCCCCAAGGACAAGATATAAACTTGTGGAAGTAAATATTAGGACTACCCATCCATGCTGAATCCAAGACAAGGACTTCCAAGTAAACAAAGTGCAAAGCTTTCTGCAATAGAAAGAAAGATTCAAATGCAATTAAAGTGAACCCCATTGGTAGGATTAGAGAACTTTTGCATTCCTATTCTCTAAATTATTAGTTGGATATAAGGCTTCCAGAAGACCAAAGTTTCTGAATGCTCTAGTTATTCCCTAAACAAGTCTATTGGGCACCTGGTTATTCCCAAAACAGGTCTGGAACCATGATTGGAGTTCTTTCTCTGAGTGAACAAAAGGAGATATGTTCATAGCCTTACCTGTCATCTGTTATTACTGTGTGCTAAAAGCCAATTATTTCAAGTGTGACTCAAGACCTGATTATACTTGATATCTAAAATTAATTAATCAGTTCTGTAAAACAGTAAATTAGTAAACTATTTACATGTTGACATTTGACAAAAAGGCACAAAACAGGTTTTTTTTTTTTTTAACCAATAGAATTGTATTGATGGGCTGGTATTTTTCACCAGTATTAAATCCATGTTACAATCACCCTTCTTAGGCAAAATGAGTTACATGGACTAGAGTAAGCTTCCCTTCCATAAATCTGAAAGCTTGTTGTTAAGGTCTTTGACTGTTTTTTATCAAATTCAATGGTAGATGGACCCTCAGAAGGGCTGGGTTTGTTTATTCAAGTGTCACTCCCACAGTCCCACCCATTTCAATCCTTGTAAAGCTGTTGATAACTCTTATGTAGCAGAGTTACCTGGTTTGCACCTGAGACTCTTACCTGAACTTGTGCTGGAAGCAGGAACAGATAATTTTAGGTTTGGAGCTAACTCGAATTAGTTTGACTGAATTTTGGTTAACCTGAGCCATTCACTTAAGGGGCTATTTGATAACGTTGAAGTGGCTGGAACAAATGACTTATTACTTTGGTTGATAAAAAAAAAAGACATTACTTTGTTACTGATAGAAAAAGAAAGGGATGAAAATGGAAATATCTGCTGGGTGTATAGTGGGCCAATAGGCATAGAAGATTCTACCAAGGCAGAAGTGTTGGCTGCACTTACAGGGATCAGAATAATTAACAGATTAGGTATTCAGAACCTCTCCATTGAAGGCGATTCAGCAAACACTATAAAATGGTTAGGAAAACAAGAGACCGGACCATGGAGACTTGGTCACTTTCTGATGGAGGCAAGGGATTTACTGGCTGCTTCTAATGCAAACCTGATTTGGATTCCAAGGGAATTTAATACTCTTGCAGATGGACTAGCAAAATTAGGTGCTCTGTTAGAAGATTTGTACTCACAAAGTTTCCTCCTGTATAATTCCTAAAGATCTGATCCCTGTTTTTGTTTTTCTTTTCTTTGTATGTGCACACCTCTTGTGTACCCTTCTCTTTTCTTAATGAATTCAGCTACTTTTCTCTCAAAAAAAAAAAAGAAAAAAGAAAGAAAGATATCTTAGGTTTTGGATTTTCTTGAAGATGCTTGTGAACCATTATTAGACAGTATCTTTGTAAAGATGTATGAATGCATATATGTAAATTGAATTACTTACAAAAAACTTCTTTTCTATGATGGCAGGCAACTTCCTTACTTTAGTAGGACCACCTTGCAGTTACTTCAAACATACGCAGGTATTGAACTACATAATACATTTGTGCCAATGCCATTTCTTGAAAGAAATCAGTAAGCACTATCAGATTCATAGTTGTCAAGGTGACGCCTAGGCAGGCGCCCTTTGAAGCTTGCCTCGCCTAATTGCCAAAGCAGTTTTCTACTTCCTACTATAAAAAACTAAAATAATCATTTTGTGTGTTTATATACTAATTTCTTTTTATTATTTTCTTATTTATTAGGGTTTAATCAACACAAACATTGCTAAATGCTGTATTGAATCCTCAAAGACTTGGAAGAACTTAAAATTTTATCTAATCAGCACATTTTCCTCTTCCATATATTCTTCTTCTTCTTCTTCTTCTTCTTCCTCTCCTCCTCCTCCTCCTACTTCTACTACCACCAATACTTCTTATTTTCTTCTTTTCCTATAACAACAATAAGGGTTCAGCCCCTATATTTTTTGAATTTTATTTTCCTTCTTCCTTTTCATCTCATGAATATGTTGATTTTCTATACTTTAATATGAAATTTATACTTTTCTTATGAAAATCATGAATAATTATTAAAGAAATATGGTTATGGTACCTAGGGAACTACCCTAGGATCTATGTTTTTAACATAAAAAAAACCCATCGCCTAGGCGACTAGGTGACAAGGCGCCCCCAATCGCTTAGCCTTGCCTTAGCACCTTGAAAACTATGTCAGATTTATTTTGAAACAGTACATATACTTGCATTCTCCATTGTATAAGGTCCAATGTCCAAACTACTATTGCAGGTGTGTGATGATTCAACCTGAATGGGAAATGATACATGATCCTCTGAATTACAATCATCCTCTTGAACTCCCAAACCATTTTAATCATCTTCCCTATCTTCAGTTATTTGTTTTTCATGGATTATATTAGTTGGTTGGCCCCAATAATTATGAACACAATATATGGATTTCAGTGTTTTGAGATGTGTGTTAATGGACTTGATTTCAGTGTTAGTGGACTTGAGATGTGGGTTTATGTCCCCTTGTGTATGGAATTATGTGAGCTCCACATTGATTTTTTTGTATAGTGTGGCCCATAGTTGATAACCACATATATCAATGTATTTTTGGGGACTACATTGATATCTTGCATAGGGAAATGCATGAGTGGGGCCCATTTTAATATTTTTTGTAGGTAAATGTGTAACTGGAACCCACAAGTACTATTTACATGTTTGGCTGTGTTACGAGGTCCCACACATGACATTTCACCTGTGTAAGTGCGGCCCACAAGTATGCTTGGCAAATGGTCTTTTGGCCTTTCTAGCTTTTGAGAAGATCTTTGAAAAAAATTGCAACCAAAGTACCAAACGGTCTTTGGTCTTTGAAGATCTACCTGTGAAAACTCACCAGTCTTTTGAGGTCTTGAGCGTTTGGAAGATCTTCCTAAAAAGACTTGCCAAACACCTCCTTAATAGGTGAACTGAAAAAGGCCCAACAAGGAGCTATTAACGTTCTTTTGCAACTACAATTGGCAAGTTACACATACCCAGAAGTTGTATTTCTAACCATCCTTTGTCCAATTAAATATCTGCAAGTATTGGAGAAGAAAAGGTGGAACGAGTGGATAATTGGGACTTGTCGAAAAAAGAAAACCTGAGTGCATAATTGGGAACAAGTGAGAGAATGGAGGACTGCCTTCCTCCGTCTAGGTAAGCTGCTTGGTGATCCGAAAGCAGGCCTACATGGTGGGGTTATATTTTACTACTGTTGGGACCGAGTCCCAGTTTGTTGAAGTTTCTGAGCGAGATTCCCCCTTATCTGTGATATGAAACTCATGTCTCAACTATCAACTCCTTTTTTTGCATAGAGAAGCACCAACTCAATTATTTCCTTTGCTTTTTAAGAAACATGTTCGAACAAAGTTTGAATTTAAAGGCATCATATTGTGGTACCATCACTGTTGCAAACAGGACAAGGAAAACCAAATCCAAAGTTCAGGCATTATAGAGAGCAGAGGTAAGCCCATCATTTAGATGTCATTGGGTCTAAGAGGACCTCGGAAGAAATGTTGCACTGTGCAAGACGACTTTCCCACTTTGGAGCATTAAGAAGATCACACAAGTCTCCATGGCTTCTTTCTTCCTTCCTGTCTTATTCGGACACCCCGAACAAGAAAACGAAGCAGGCCCCTCTACAGGTCTCTCTCAACCACCTTCCCCCCCCCAAAAAAAATAATAATAATAATAATAATAATTAATTAATTAATTAAATAAAATAAAAGGAATGTTTTGTACATACATTTTTTTTTGGTGGTTATGTCCACTGATGATACTTCATATTGGTAGAGCAAGATAAGTTTCATTTTGTATATCTTGTCTTGTATTCACCTGGTTTGCACATTGGACTTTTTCAGGAGAGGAGAATGATAGACAGATTTAGACTATGGGCTAAGGGAGGGACTGGCGGGAATGGATGTTACAGCTTTCACCGCAGTCGGCATGATCGCCATGGCAAACCTGATGGTAAGTTACTCTCGTTTCCTCCTATTTCTTACTCATTTTGTTCCTTATTATATATATTGGTTTTGAATCAAAGTGGCTGCGGGATTGAGAAATTATAGATTTATTGGATTGGACTAATAAAAAAGACTTAAGTTACTAACTTTATTCCCAGATAGATTCCATATTTTGGGCATTTATAAAAAAGACTTAAGTTACTAATTTGAAGCTGTGGTTTATTGGAAGTTTTTGCTTTCTTTATAACATTTCTTTCTTTTCTTGTGCAAATTAATCTAGGTGGGAATGGTGGAAGAGGTGGTGATGTGATTTTAGAGTGCTCGTCTGCAGTGTGGGATTTCAGCAGCCTGCAGCATCACGCGGTACCTAACTCTTCTTCTTCTCCTTTCATTAGTAACAATTTCTCAGTATAAGCTTGATTGGTATTCAAATACTGACAAATATTAATGATGGGTATCCCATCTTACAGAATGCAAACAGAGGGGGGCATGGAGCATCAAAGAATAAGATAGGAAGCCGGGGGGCTGACAAGGTTATTATGTGGAAGCATTTATGTTGTTCTTGTGAGATTCCATTGTGTTAACTTTTATTAGATCCTAGGGTACAAAAGCATGGTTCAGTTTATTGAGACCTGATTTTATCTTCTAGGTTGTGCAAGTACCTATTGGCACTGTAATTCATCTCGTAGAGGGTGAGTATCCTTCTTCTGTTGAGAACCGTTCTTTGATGGTTCTAGATCCCTGGGAGATCCCTGGTACACTTGAGGCATCTCAAGCGGAGAAGCAAACTGCAAATATTACCAGTACAGCAAGGGTAGTGGAAAGAAGGGATGTTGATGGTTCATCTTCTAGCTTTGAGAGGAAGAACAGGAAATCATCTAGCTTGCAGAAGGTACCTAGGGAATCATCAATGAGATTTCTTTCTCAGGTTTCTCCTTTGAGTAAAGAATACAAAGTTCACAGGGAAGAATCTATTGTCTATTATGAAGAGGTTGGTAGTGAAGACATTGAAATCAATGATGGTACATCTGCAGCAGAATGGGAAGAAGAAGAAATGCAGGAAGAAGAGATGGAAGAAGTACAATATAATGTTGCAGAATTAACAGAACCAGGGCAAAGAGTACTTGTTGCTCAAGGAGGAGAAGGTGGGCTTGGCAATGTCTCTTCAGCAAAATTTTCCAAGAACCACAAGTATACAAATTATTGTAATCATAGCCCTAGTTCACCAGATCTTGGGATGCTAGATGATGAAGATCAATCCTCATTCAGTGCCGGTCTGCCAGGATCAGAGGCTGTTCTCATATTAGAACTTAAGAGTATTGCTGATGTAGGCCTTGTAGGGATGCCAAATGCTGGTAAAAGTACACTTTTAGGGGCCATTTCAAGGGCCAAGCCTGCTGTAGGCCATTATGCCTTTACTACCCTAAGGCCTAATATAGGGAAGCTGAATTACGATGACTTCTTCTCAGTCACTGTTGCTGACATTCCAGGGCTTATAAAAGGTGCTCATGAAAATCGTGGACTTGGGCATGCTTTTCTGCGACACATAGAGAGAACAAAAGTTTTGGCTTATGTAGTAGACTTGGTAGCAGCACTGGATGGTAGAAAAGGTATCCCTCCATGGGTACAGTTGAGAGATTTAGTTTTGGAACTTGAATACCATAGAGAAGGTTTGACGGATAGACCTTCCTTGGTAGTTGCAAACAAGATCGATGAGGTAGGTGCAGAGGATATGTACGAAGAGCTAAAGAGAAGGGTGCGAGGTGTACCCATTTTTCCTGTCTGTGCAGTCTTGGAAGAGGGCATAACAGAGCTAAAAGCAGGCCTTAGAATGCTTGTAGATGGTGGAGAATCAAGGAGGCTTCAGTTAGATGGGATTATGCTTGACTAGTTCACTAACATGTTTCCAAACATGGGCATCCAATCTTTAACGCTAAATTTTTGTGATGACTTCGGAGAGACCATAGCTTCTTTTAGTTTAGGGAATGGGTAACGATGATCTTCTTCCATACTGTTGCATTGCCTGTCGACGCTTAGATTGGTACATCGAATGGAGCTTGATTGATTGATTGGAAACTGGATGACTGAGCTCCATGGTACGCTGATGATTGGTTTGATTGGATTTCTTGTTGATTAATACGCCAGAATGGTTACTATAATATTGTTTGATCCGTTGTTAGTAACTTCTCAAAGGCTTCATGATCATTTTCACACTGAAAAGCCATGTATTCTGATGTGAACTTTTGATATCACAGAGAAACAAAGAGAACCTGAATGAACGATTGTTTAGTGTTAATGAGAAATGTTGGCGAACCAAAAGGTCCTCTATGTGGTCCACCATCTAATAAATCAAGCCAATTGGTTCTTTACGGAACCGGTTCATTGGTTAACTGTTGCCTTCTATGGCAATAAAGCGAAGGAAACGGAGAAACACTAGGGTACAAGTATAACAGACCAAAATTTATGGTAGAGAGGATAGATGGCTTCTTAGGCTCCGTTTGGGAAGAGTGTAAATATAAAAATTAATGGTAAAATGCAAATATGTTTGGTTCGCGAAAATGCAAAGTTGGTTTAGTTTTGCAATGATAATTTTGTACTCTTGTTAAATGATTTTTAATTGTGATAGGTGCAAACAGGAATCCCGAGATTGAGATGTGCCTTCTTAACATTGATCAACTTTAAGGTTGTGTTTGGAAGTGTAGAGTGCATTCTGATTCATATAAACATAAAGTTGGGTTAGTTTTGCATTGATAAATTTACTTTCTTACTGAACAGACTTTCAGTTGTAATGGACGCAAACATGAATCCCCATATAGAAATTTACCTTTTCTAACATTAACCACTTTGAATGCAAATTTACTTCTTTTTTTCAGGTAAAATTACCTCTCATTTTAAATATAAACATACCTTGGAAATTGTGTTTTATATCATTGTCAATTCATAGGTGCTTTCTTTGCCAAAGGCTAGTAAAACTGAACCAGAATGCATATTTACACTAATCGGACATTTACACCCTATTTGCATCATTTCCAAATGCAGCAAGTGCAAAGTTTGCATCTCTTTTTATTTTTAGATTTTAACTTTGCTCTCATTTTAAATGCAAGCATGTCTTGAAATCTGTATTTACTGTCATTTTTGTTAAGACAAATGCATTCTTACCAAATACTAATACTGAACCAGGAATACAAATATGCAAATATACACGTTTGCACTCTTAGCCTTAATTTTCAATATCTAAACAAACTATACATTCAAATGAACGAGGGAGGATGCACTTCTTGGTTGAATGGCAATTTAGCGAGGGATACGGTTCTTGAGGTTGGTGTGAGGCGCTCTTTAAAGAACAAATCTGAATTGACCCCAATGCACCTGTGTATATATACAAAATTAGGATGAGAGAGATGGATTTGTGCCAGTAGTAAGAAGGAATTCATGGCCGCCCCTCTCTCGTTACACTCTGGACCTCTGGTTTTGTAATAGCAGATGACCAGTTCACTTTATATTGGTGGTGGACTACATTGATGACCCCGTGTTCCACTAAGAATTGCTCTCTTTTTAAATATAAGACTTAGACCTGACAAAAAGTTGACCCAACCCGTGAATCCGACCCGACCCAAAAATTAGGTTTAGGGTCTCATATTGAACTACCTGAATTTGAGAATGACCCGACCCACTCAACCTAGAAAAAACTGGGTTGGGTTGGGTAATGGGTTAACCCGTTGACCCGATTTTTAGGTCTAATTGGGACTATTTATGCATTGTTAGAAGTTTCCACTCTTTAGATTTTACTACTTAGTTTTTACTCTTTGAAGTGTTAAATGTTCAAGTTTTTTCATTTTATATTTGGAATTTTAAGGTTAATTCTTTTAATTTTGGCATTTTTCATGTATTATTCTTTATTTTTTAAATTTTAATTATTTTTTTGGATGACCTGAATTGACCCATGGATCAACCCTAACCCAAACATTTAGGGTTAGGGTCTAGCATTTTACAACCTGACCCGAAATCAACCGGAAATATCTTGACCCAACCCGAACCCGACCCACCCAACCCAATTGCCAGGTCTAATAAGACTAGTATATAGTTATGGACATATATAATTACTAATCATACCCTCGTGATTACTAATCCCCGTGGTCCAGTCAAAGATTTGCCCTCACCATTGCTTTCATAGCAACAAAATTGCAATCACAAGTGCTGTTTTGGCATGTGGGTGGGCGAGAGTTACAGTTTTGTTGACACATCTTATTAAGTAATTCTTCTATTCCGACTTTTGGGCCTAATATCAATAAAAGTAATCTTTTTAACATAATTAATAAAATAGCCTAACTATTTTTAAAAAATATTAAATAGGGGCAGAAATACTGTTAATCTCCTTCCTTCAAATCGCCGAACAAATCTCCCCCAAGATTAATAAATATTGATCACAGATCTCTATTTTTTTCTTCATTCTTGTAATTGCTGGCTTGCTACAAATAAAAATGGCGAAACCCACTCTTGTGCTAGGGGTGTTCACGGGTCGGGTTGGATCGGTTTCATGGGATTTTCCCAACCGACCCGACCTAGTTGGGTTACCAGAGGTGGGAACCGAAACCGACCCATTGATAGGCCAAACCAACCTGGTCGGTTTGAGTCGGTTTGGGTCGGTTTCGATTTTGCTCCTGTACAAAGCCAAATAAACTCTAAATTAGTTGAGGACTTGAGTTGAGGGGGGCGGACCAACCAAGTTAAGTTAGAGAATAGAAGATTTTAAGAGAAGACAGAAGTGGAATTAGAAGACTAGTAGGAAACTAGGAATTCTAATTGTAATTGCCTAATGGACCTTTTAGTTCTAGTAGGAATTCTTATTGTAATTGCCTAATCTAGGTAAAAAACTAAAAAATGACACCTAATTAATTGAATTCTAATTGTAATTGCCTAATGGGCCTTCTATTTTCTAGTAGAAGTCTAGAAGACTAGTAGGAATTAGGAAACTATTCAAACTAGGAAGTAGAAACTACCAAACTAGTAGAAGAAAGACTAGTTCGGTTCGGGTCGGGTCGATTTCGGTTTCGGTTTTCTTATGTGAAAACCGAAACCGACCCGAGATATCGGTTTTTGTATGTGCCCAACCCGAAACCGACCAGTACGAATGAAAACCCGGCCGACTCGGGTTGGGTCGGTCCGAGTTGATCGGTTTGGTCGGGTTGGGCATTCTTATGAACAGCCCTATCTTGTGCTTTTGCATTTTGTTATGTGTATCTCGCTTCTCTACTTAGCATAATCATTGACCTCTTCCAATCCCAATTTCTAAGCTTTAATGGTGTTCAAAACTGTTTCAAATACCTCTAAAAGGTTTAGTAGCTAGAACCAAACCCCCAATTCATGTTTCTGGTATAGTGTTTCATGTATTCTTTTAATTATTTCAGAAGAATAATTCATAGCAGTTCTACTTTAAGTTTGGAACAACTCAGATGCAGAAAAGAAGAAGAAGAAGAAAGAAAAAGAGAGAGAAATCGGAATGGGGACATTTATTCAGCAGTCAAGAGGTAGAAGGAATTTGATATTTAAAAATAAAAGTTAGCCTGTTCTATAAATTATGTAAAAAGATTATTTTTATTGAGAACTAGACAATTAGTGAATGACCTTGTGCTTCGTACGGAAAAGTAGCATTTCCTTATTTTGATATCCGTTACCCACGTGGTTAGTCTTGAGGTTTTTACATTTTTATTTGATAACCAGACAAAACCTTATTTATAATTCAATAACGCACTTTTAACTGATGAAAAGAATGGGATGCATCATGCATGTCAATGTGAGGTTTCAATAACCCACCTTTTTGCTGGTTCTTCATTTGAAACGAGAAACTAAAGGGTATGAACTCCAATTAGGGATGGTAACGGGTAGATTTTGGGAGGATTTTGTAAATTTTAGATCTTATTCACCTCTTAATTCATACGTATCTCAAAACCCGTAGTGAGTTGGATTTTGATAATTTAAACCTTCATCGTAAATGAAAATGCAAAACCCTCCTCGCATTTAAGGGTAGGGGTAGGTTGGGTTTAGAACGCGCATCTAATTTTCTATTATTTTTTATCATATATAAGCAATAAATAAGTAAAATAGCATAAATAAATTACAAAATTTCCAATTATTTGATCAAGACGTATAAAGAACACATAAGTTATCAATTATCCTTCACATAAAATTCAAAATAATATTAAACTCAACACCTAGTATATAAAAGTTATGTGCTTTCCAACAATATGCGGGTCATGAAGGGTCAGGCCTAATACTGTACTCTACCCATACCCGTATGAGTTGTAAAATCCCAAAACCTGTCCTTCAAGTAAAAAAACCCGCCCCATCGGAAAAGGTAGGGGAAAGTACCCACCGAATAGGGTAGAAGTTGTCATCCCTAAGACCATCTCCATAAAAGAGAGAATAGTTGTAATTTTAAGATTTGGAAGGAAATTAGGTGGATTGTAGTGATTTTACTTTATGCTCGAAGCTACCCATGTCTCTTCTACAAAGAAACTCCTACCATGCATCTCTATTTATCTCTCATTCCTTCTGTTCATTTTCCCCCTCTTTTGGGGGTAATGACACCTATTCTAGCCCATACCATAGGGTGCAAATGGATCGGATTCTGGTCCAATCCGATCCTATTTGGTCGAATTCAAATTACCCCTATTCGTATCTTCAGATTAGACCAGATTCAGATCGCCCCCTATCCGATCTAAGAAGACCCAATCCAATATGTGTTATATATTTAAAATATAAATATGTATATAATACATATATATATATACGTTATTTATTTATTTATAAATATATTATTTGTATTGCATTTTTTATAAATTTATTATATTATTTATTTTTTTTTATAAAAACCATGTATATATCATGAAAATAATTTAAAAAATAGAGAAAATTCACGATTGGTACCCTATACTTGGGTCTAGTGTCACTTTGGTCCCTGAACTTTAAAACGCGACAATTCAATACCCAAACTTTCAAAATGTGCCAATTTAGTATCTATTGTTAATCGGCCATCAGTTATATGTATCATATGACATCATGTGCGATTTAAAACTTTTGAAAATGTCAAAATTACCCTTGAAAATAAAACACTATTCATCATTCTCTTCCTAGAGAAATGAAAGAGATGTGTAACCCATCTGATTTCCTGCCCAAATTCTTTCCTAGACACGTCTCAAATCCTTAGACATTTTTTCATAGACGCTCAATTGAGCAGATTTCAACTGCATTGATCTGAGCGACTTTGTTTCCTGGCAACGGTATTGGGCCTAAAATTATTGATTCCGTAAAGCAGGTTGGTTTAGTGCATGTCTCTCTATTGAATGTGTGGTAAGATTTTTGTTTGAGAGAGAGAGAGAGAGATGAGCAGCAATTAGAAAGTGGAGACGATCTCGAGACTTTGCTCAATGGAAGATAGAGAACTTTGGTTCATGCTCTTACATATGGTCCGACCTTTTCAAGGCCGGGATTGGGAACTGGTAACACCCTTGTTCCTTGTATAATTCTCCATGAAACCCCCTTTCTTTTTCTTTAGTATAGTTTGATTCTTCTGGATTCATTCAATTGTGTTTCAATTCCAAAATATTCACATGATTCGTTCCTCTTTCCATTGAATATACATGCACTTGTCGATAGAGAAGAATCGTTATCTCTACATTCGACTCTTTCTAGAGCCATGTCGGGTCGCTAAAGAACAACTTCCAATAGCTAGATTTGTTCTCCGAGTCTCTATTCTCTAATTTTGGCGCTAGTCGTCACCCTTAAATCTCGCCAAGTATTTATTCTAATTTCGTTTTTTTTGCTGCAAATTCTAATTTCGTTATTGTTTTGTATTTGAGCGTTCATTTATTAATTCCTACTTTATTTCCATTTGAAGAATCTAGTCAATTATCACAGAACACTATAACGAAACTTCAATTAACAGGGTGAACTAGTACTAGGAGGGAAACCAAGTTTATCTCCATCTGGATATCTCTGTTGATTTCAGAAGAGCTCTGAAGACCTGGGCATCATGGGTTGATTGGCATATAAATCCACGCAAGACTCAAGTTTTCTTTCGAAGTTCAATGTACATTCAACACCTTCCCGTTTCAGGTTAGCTCACTGCTTTATGGAAACAAATCTGTTATTTTTCTTGTCTTGTGTTTTAGTCTATTTCAGTTGCTTAATAAAATGAATTTACTGAACAGGGGAGGTCAATGAAATTCCGGGGGAACAACCTCTCAAGAGCTCTGAACACCAGGGCATCATGGGTTGACATGCACCTGAACACGTGCATGCGCCATGCACGTAATAGCTATCGCTTACAAAATCCACGCGAGACTCAAGTTTTCTTTCGAAGTTCAGCACCTTCCCATTTCAGGTTAGCTCACTATTTTATGAAAACAAATCTGTTATTTTTCTCGTCTTGTGTTTTCGTCTGTTTCAGTTGCTTAGTAAAATGAGTTTACTGAACAGGGGAGGTCAATGAAATTCCAGGGGGCACTGTAAGGAAGTTTACTCAACCCCTCAACAATATTTCAGGAACAGACAAACCACCCAAAAAAGAATATAATTGCTAGAGAGGTTATAAGACAAATAAAGACTCCTGTAACTCTCTTGAATGTAACTAGTTTGTCAAAATACAAGATATATGTTCATCCATCTGTATATAGAAGAAATCCAGGGAAGGGTCCTTCAAGTATTCAAGACTGTAGTCATTGGTGCCTCCTGGGCGTTCCTGATACCTGCAATGAATTGTTGTATACTTGTATTACTATTATCTGCAATCTAAAGAAAAACACGATTCCACTTAGCAAACTGATGAACGCATCTTAATGTCTCTCAGGTATTTTTTTTCCTTCCTTTGCTGTGATTGTTGTTCACAAAAAAGTAGAGGGGATGTTTGGTCCTTCAATGTTTTTCTACTAATGCTTTTAGCTCTCAGACTGTATCATTCGCCTTCGCCTGTTTAGTTAAATGCTACCCGGTGATGATTAGATTGCCTAAGTTGGTTTCTCTCTCTTTACATTTGTATTTTTTTTTTCATTTTTTTATCTCTGTTCGACAGAATACTCAACTGAGTTTGATGTGAATTAGATGGTTGATAAAGAAAATTAGATGACATTCAAAGGGCATTTGTGTCTTTTCAACTGTCATTTAACGACTAGTTAACAACAAGTACTGGATTGCCACATTTTGAAAGTTCGGATACTAAATTGTCACGTTTTAAAGTTAAGGGACCAAAATGGCACTAGACCCAAAGTACAAGGTACCGATCAAGAATTTTCCCAAAAAATACTTGTATTTTTTATTTTTTTATTTAAATTGATATATTTTATTTTTTTTAATAATTTATTAATTTTAAAGAAAACAAGTCAGATCAAATCAGATCCAAAAATTCAACTTATCAATAGGATTCAAATTCAAATTGAGACCTATCAAACCCAATTGAATTTTTGAATCGAATCTAACAAGAATAGTGTCGGATCAGATCGAATTCGGATATACCCTTATTCGAATCTGATCCGATCCATTTGCATCCTTACCCAAGGTTCAAAATATCGCAGCATATCGGTCCGTAACATGTGTAAATCATTCGTTTTGTTTCTTTTTATATGTATCGGCCGATACAGGTCCGAAACAGCCCGTTATTCATTAATCCATATTTAATACCAAATCTCTCATAATGTTGTTTATTTAAGTCTAATTTCTCTTTCATTAATTAGTCAACTACTCCAAAACAAATTTAAATTTGAATTTGAATTTTAGCGCCTAATTCAAATTCTCTCATTAATTTCTTTAATTAATGATCCCCTATCATTAATTTCGTTTTGTTAGTGTAAAAACTTCAAATTTTATCTATAGCTAGATTTGAACATTGGTCACTTGATTTTAAGTTTTAAAACCACAAGTTTGCCAATGAACCACACATATTTGTTTGCTATAATTATATGTATTTTTAATTTTAAGTAAATTTTCACTTTTCTTAATGAGTGACAAGTTTTTATTAATAAATGCTAGAACTAATTATTAAAATTTATATACTAATAAATATTAAAATTAATTATATTGGTCTTTGAAAATTGGCATTCACATTTTAGTTTTTTTTTTGTTTTTTATATTTTAGTTATTCCATCATTTTTTCAACGGTTATTAATTGTGTCCTGATATGTCACACTTTATATAAACCATTAAATTATGATTTTTTACATTTAAATGACTTATTTACAATCATATAAAATTTGTAAATATAGTTAGTAATATATTTTTTAAGATTTATTTGATTTTTTACTATATTTATTCTTATCTTAATTTTTTTGTCTATATCTATACGTATCCAAAGCATACCCACATACATCTCTTAAAATTGTCTTTCCAATACACCTTGCATTTCCGATACTTTGAACCTTATCCCTACCATACCACATGTGATAAGAGGGTATTATATTGGCAATGACACTTCATTTGTTTTTTTTTTTTAAATTATCTATAAAATTTGACTGAGGATTAAGCGTGTACCTTTTTTTTTCTCTTTACTTCTGTTTTTTCGTTATTAAGCGTGTACCTCTTTTTTTCTCTTCACTTCTGTTTTTTCATTTTATTTTAAACGGTGATCAATCAAACAAAACGAACTCTCTTTATCTGCTACTACAACCTTTGACTTTTTTTTGCACAAATGACCTAGTCATACCCACATTCTCACACTTGTAAGGCTGAGATGAGATTTTACCATTGCCCCTAGAAAAGAAGATAATATAAACCAGGCTCCGTTGCCCAAAGTCAAACAAAACCCATGACGGACTAAGATTGGGCCAGCTATTTGTTTCCGCCCACACAAGTTATCAACTCCTCCAGAAGCCCTCGTTGAATTGTGCCAGCATCAAGTTGGCCAAGCCCCGTGAAACTGAATCTGTAGGCTAAAGGATATACAACATGGTTTTCAAAACCGGATCAGACCGGATGGTCGGACCAGAAAGACTGGGAACCAGTCACCTGACCAGTTCTGTTTTCCCCCAAAACCATTGATTTTGGTCAACAAACCACTGAACCAGCCGGTTAACCATTCGGACCATTCAAACAGTTTTGACCATTTTTCAAATTTTTAAATTTTTTGTCAGAATGGGCTGACCGTTTGAACCGATAACCAGACCCCTGACCAGTTCGATCACCGATTCGGTTTTAAAAACCATGATATACAATAATATACAAAGTTTTGTTTTCCAAAACCAAAAAAAAAGGGAAGAAAATAAATAAATTCTAGAAGATTGAATAGGTGGAATTTCTGGGTTGACATCATTCATGGATCCTGCAGTTGATGGGCGCTCAGACATGATTACAAGGACCCATCAAAAAATGCAATTAAAATAACCTATTTCTTCCTATAAAGTAATTCCACAAAAAAAAGGTCAGATAACTTTAAAAAGATAAGATCTAGCCACAAGGAACATCAAATATCTGTATGCGTGGCTAGGTCGAATCCTGCCTCTCATGAAACGAGCCTTTGCCTTGTCTCTCGCAGAACCCAGAGCCAGAGGCACCAAATGTTTCATTACCACTTGGGGTATGGCTTTGGAGACGATAAGTCTCTCCAAAATGAAACCAATCAAATACAAACTTTCCACATATGGGTCCTATACCCAACAGACATGAGGCAAAGCTCCCAAAGCATGTTGGGGATACTTAATGGATTCACTTTTGATCCAGGAATCTCGGACCAATTTACGGATATCTCTATCATTTGGATGCCAAAACGTTTGCACAAGTATACTAACTCGACATCAAAGCACCACCTGCAGAAGATCCATAGGTTCCCAACTTCAAATCAAATAAATCATGAAGCACAAAACAAATAGAGATGGATAACAACTCTGTAGCAATGTTCTGAAAATCATAATCTTATCATAAATCGTAAAATTATTTTGGTTTTTTACAAACTCATCAAACAACTAAAATAGATATACTAAAAATCTAAATAGAAACAGAAAAGTAATTTTACCCTACTTTTAATCCGTATCTGTCATATATATACCTAAAACAATAAAGTTTAGAACTTGCACACTAGAAACCTAAGATGATATAATCAAACTTGACCATTTCTTTGGTAGGATAATCAAATTTGACTTAAAAGTCAAATAATCCACATACAATAACCCTTTAACTTACATATATGATAGAAAATAAACTCAATGTCATTTCTAAAAGGCTTTGAACAACCTAAATAAAAATTTTCTAACAAGGTCTTCAAAACAAAGTCTTCGTTGACAAAACTAAATGGAAAAAAAAAAAGAAATTATAAAATAGAGAACTTTTTTTTTGATAAGTAATAGAGAACTAATTCTTAACTGAATTGATTTGAATCGCATGAAGCATATAAATCACAAGATCCATTAATCAAGATTCAAACCAAAACCCTTGGAACTGATTGTCCAAATTGTGAATAATATTGTAAATCACAGGATTTTGACAGCATTGCTTTTAGCAGAACCTAAAAAAAGAACAAAGAAAAAAATGAAAAAGAAAGGGTCATCATAACCAGACATGTTCTGTCAAAGAGTTTCTAGAGAGCAAATAGTCAGATCTACTATGCATTATTTTTAGCAATATCTTCATATATTAAGTTACACAAGAGAAGTCTCATTTACTTCAAGGGAATGAAGCATAAAAACCTCATGAGCATACTATTTTCTTCAAAAAAAAAAAAGCAAAAATCTTAAGTTAATCTGTTATTTAATTTCACCTTACAAAGTACAGACTGATACAAATCACATCCCACTTCATCATTAGTTGTGTTACTCTTCACTTGATACATCATTTTCTATGATATATTACTCCATCACTAGCAAGTGCTTAATTTATACATGGGGATGGATGGTTTTATTTTATAATTTGTACATTTGTTCTTACTTCTTAGGGTGCAATTATGATACCAGAAAAACTTGTAACCAATCAACTGGTATCATAAAAGTGGTAACCAATCAGCTGGTATTCATCAAATTCACAGAGGGGGGTTTCTTTGGTCAAAGTTATTCTGGTATCATACTTTTCCTGCACCGTAGATTTACCCTTGTTCTTTTTTTTTTTTTTTTTGTACCTCCACAAAACTATATTTCTGTCTACAGAAAACATATATTATTATTGAAATCTAACTAATGTCTTCTGTTCAAGTTTATTAAGAAAGAAAAAGGTTTAGAGTACATGTTCATTTTCTTAGGTACACCTCACCCAAATGCCTTGAAAACTCTGCTTGTAAGAAAGTTTGCACAACTCATTGGTGAAAACCAATGTACAAACTCAACCCCCACAATTTCAAGTGTTCAATGACAATCATTTATTCCATTATGGGCATGTGGTATGAAGGCATGAACTCCCTGTTCTCCAAATAATATGGGATCCATGATTAAAGGTGGCTCACCTTTTTCTGTTTTTATTTTATTTTTACCTTTTTTAACAAGGAAATAGTTTCTTCCATTAACCAATTTTTTTCTATTTAAGTGAAGCTAGAAACTTTGACATCTTAATTTGCCGGGATGGAAAAATATCCTTTGTTAGAGACATATGTTGGTAATTCATGCTTCACATACTTCTGCTCATTTATTACTGTGCTTATTGAAATTAGGTGTGATCAACATCAATCACAGCTTAATAATCCATATGGTTCACTAGATTGGTTTTACCATGCAGATAGCAGAAAGTTTGGTATCGTCCTACCAAGCAAAATTTGCATTTCTTTATAGAACCTTTCCAGGGTGCCAGAGGCACATTTGTCTCCACAGTTCAATCTTTCAAGTTTTATGCTCAAATTGATAAGTTTATGGGGTTGCACCAGTTTCGAAATGGCAAACTTTGACATTTAGTTTGATAAAGTTATACTCAAGCACAAGGTTCAAAATACCAATACAGGCCAATACGCTGGTTGGGGCGTATCGGCCTGTATCTTTGCTCACCTTCATTTTTTTGTTTTCTTTTTTCCAAACTGGTTCAGAGGGGTCAATTTAAGGCCTGTCTACCCCCTGAACCAGGTCACACCCCTTGTAGAGGTGTACGGGAGGCCACCAATACGATACGAATCGGCCGATACAGCCTGATATGTATCGAAATTTTGAACCTTGCTCAAGCAACAGGATCAAACACTTCCAAGTCATTATATATTTTGAAAGCAAACAAGAGAAGGCACAACAATTATTGTCAAAATGCTAAAAGAGAGCAAGTCCACATCAGTATGTAAATTTCTGAAGATACCTTTTCAAGCGGACGTTTGAGAAAAGCTTCCGTGCTGCAGCTCTGGTAAACATCTTAAAGCCACACTACAATCCATGCAAGTGTCCATGTCAAGAACAAAACATATACCCAGTATGTTGGGTTCAATTAAGAATTATAAGTTATTGGGAACATGCAAAAATAAGGGTCATTACTCAATGTTGGGAGCAGTTGAACAGATACGGACCTAACCTTCGGCATTTTCTTGCACGAAGTGGCCGCTCTCAGACTAAAACCTGCATTCTCACACTTGTCAACAAGATTTTACCATTGCACCAAGCAATGACCCCTTGGGAACATGGACAAATAAATACTTTTAATAAAATCCTGATTACTGTTGCTGATAGAAAAAAACATGTGCAAATAAATACCTGTGTATCACGAATTCCTCGACCAGCAGTCAAGAGAACCACGGCATGGAAACCCTTCATAAGAAAATTTCGGTACCACTTCCGCTGAAAATTAAGTGAATACCACTTGTAAGAAAATGAACTGACAGATTCATTAAAAAAGAAAAGGTATATAGGGAGGTAGATCAAATTAATGACTAAACTGTAGCCAGAGCCTTCTCCTCAAGATGTGCACGAGAACCAAATGCAACAATTGGAATATCAGATATTCTTGAACTTGAATCAGTATTTGCAGCATCTCCCAGCTTAAGTTCATTTTTAGCTAGTCTGCATATCTGAGATCCGAACTATCAGGAAGTTTACAGTACATATGTTATCCGAACTATAAACCGCAATCCTACAATATGGTAACAACTAAAAATAGTACCATATGAAAATATTGAAACAGAAAGTTAGCAATGTGGTCAGTCATAACCAACAGAAACCTGATTTTCAAGCTTTTCTAAGTCATAAATCTTTGTTGCCCCATCAGCATCAAGCATTAGAAGAAGCTCACCACGTGAATGGAGCATTCCCTGTTTAACCATGCTTCCACAGAAATGAAGAGCTTCAATCAATTGGTGTCATATATGACAGGAAGAAAAGCACTTAAACACCCCTAATCATGTGACAAAAAAAAAAATTGTTAGATAAACTCACACTTCTGATAGCTTCTCCTTTGCCATGGTTCCTTCCAAGAAGAATGACCCTTACATTTTCTATTGTGTATCTTCTTACAAAGTCAAAAGCAACTCTCAGTGTCCCATCAGTACTCCCATCATCAACTATAACTACCTGTTCATGTATTCATCCATTTACAGAGATGCAAAAGAGAAATTACCTAAGGAGTAAGGACTTATAATTTGACAGAAAACATCATTCCTGGTAGAGTAAAAATAGCAGCACAAGGTTTGCATAGTTGACACAAAATAGTTAGGATTAAGGCTAAGTTATGTTGAATTGAATACAGAGATGCCAAAGAAATACAATAAATTCAAAAGTATAAATTTCAATAGACATTTTAGAATGCACATGAAACTTCATGCCAGCCTGAATACAACCTGGCCTGGTCCAAAGATTCATATAAACCAGTGCTGGGCCACCTAGGCTCAATTCTGGGGCCTGAAGTGAGTTCAGGCTAGCTTTAGACAGATCCTTGCCCAGACCAAGAACCTACAGGCTGACCTAGAGTTAATAATTAATATATAAACGTGCATGTAATATACAATTTTATGTAATTTATGTAAAAATTAGTTTATTCAGTGGTAGACAAATATTATATATATAATCTTTAATCGGAAAATGGTAAAATAAATCAAACCATTTTTTTATTATAACTCAAAACAATAGAAGGTAGCTATTTAATTGTTTACTAGTTGGGCTGACCCATGACCACCTGAACCTAACCCAATTTAAATGGATTGGGATTAGACCAAATCCCTTCAGCTGAAACCAGACCTTGGCATGGCATGAATCCATTGTAACATATTGGGATTGTTGTATTTGAGTTGACCTTGGCCTGGCATAGCCTAGAGGCCCTGGATTGATGTGCAACCTAAATAGAATGGTACATCCTAGTGAGTTAAGCTGTTCAATACAAACTTAAGCACAAAGATATTGCCACACAAGTGAAGAGAAAACACCAAATTTCCTACCTACCCATACACAAGATAAAAGAACCATTAAGTTGCATAGTTACTTCAATATTTTTTGACTTAAAGGAACATAAGATAGGGTTCATAAAGAGTGTTGGGAAAACAAGTTCAATACATCCATAGTTGAGTTATTTGAGCCATAAATTTAACAAAGAAATTCCATACCACATGCCAACAAAACCAAGGTTTTAGAGGACTGCTATAAGGGTAGACATTCTTTATGATGCAAAACAAGGTAATTAAGGGATCACATTCATCAAAAACAAGGTACTTAAGGAATTACAAGTACATAATAGGGTGCAACTTGGGAAGGCTTGAATTGAGTATTCATTAAAATTTGAATGGGCCCAACCTGAGGGCCCATGTTCAATGCTTAAATGGAGAAGTGGTAAAATCATTGACAGTTCCTCAATTTTCTATGCAAGGAACTAATTGGGGAAAGATAAAGGAAAACCTATTTGAGATAATCTGGCCATGTGAAATGACAACCCAAAGCACGTCATTGAGAAATAATATTTGCCGCATGTGAAATGTTACAACTAACAACAACAACAATAATATAAAGATGGTTGCAACATTACACAGGCAGCATAGATTTGATTTTATAGAATAGAGTATAAACATATACATCTCAATCTAAATTTCAATGTTAATACCATAAATAAATATTATTCATGATCACTCTAAAAGCATATACTATCATCTTAAAGCTCAATCTTGTTATTTAACAATTCCCTCAGAACTTACTTCATAAGAAAATGACTTGTCCTTTGCAGCACGCTGTTGAAGATAACTGCAGAATAAATATCAAATAACAATCATCCTTGGACGAAATGGGGAGCAATGATAACCCAATATTAACAATAAAACTAGAAGTTGCAAACAGTATACAGCATAATAAATATGCAAGGACTTACTTCATGGTCTCATCAAGTGTTCCAGGGAGCCTGTGTTCTTCATTATATGCAGGAATTATCAAAGATATGTACTTCTCAGCTGGATCAGAAATTGAGGGGCATGGGACCTGGAAGAAGTGTTTCTAGGCATAATTAGTATTTTAAAGAATCACATAGAAGATTTTGATCAATCTTACTCAGTAAATTATATTGACTCCACATGGTGCAATGGTATACAACAATCTACTTCTGATAATCTATTCTTGTCTTTTTCCCCTCATCCAGAGGTAGGCTGATATCAGAAGCACAATACCAACTTACAGCATCAAGTAAACGGTAAACCCATAAACCAATGCAAGACCAGCATCATGAACTCAGATTATTATGACCAAGAACAAATTTGTAAGATATACATCCAAAATCACATATTATTTATAAATATCGGCTTGTCCATATATGAAAATATTTCTTCTTTTATATATTTGATGATTGATGATTAACCTGGTTAGGTTCAAGTGGAAAAGGATTGTACTAGACAATCCGTTACAGGTACTTCTTGTTAACAAAGCACTGAATTGCCTTTAATAAATGCATAGATTAGGAGCAGATTCTTTTATTCCACTAGACTATTTTTAGATGCCAGGAATTGATCAAGTGGCTTGACTTATGCTCAATCCAAGATTCCTACCTCTTACATAGAATTGTGATACTAACATTGCTAGTAGTATGCAGCATATTAATTATGTAAGGACTTCCTTCATGGTCTACTAATCAAGAGCCTGGGCTCTTTTTTGCCTGAAAGGTAAAATTTTATTAAAGCAAAACAAAAAAAAACAGAAACAGGATACCGGGGGGGGACGATTCAACCTTCCCACAAATCTTCTCAATTAAGGAGGACTGATCTTCAAAGATCCTGCCACTCCTTTCCCTCCATATGCATCAACATACTGCCAAGGGAGTATCAAATTTATTATAGAAAACTTATCTTTTCTCCATTCTCCTGATACCAATCTTTAGGGTTGGAAGGGGCAGGCAGGGCCATTCCTGTCCCCCCCCAAAAAAAAATGGGAAATCCTTCATATGTTTCAAATGGAGCCCCCCTCCCCCTCCACCCAAAAAATAAAACAAAAAAAAAAAAGTCCCATCTAAATGTGTGTCTCCATTGAAGTGACCCAACTAAAAATAGGTTAATAGCTTTCCTTTTGATAGCTAACCATTTCCTTTTTTTTCACTAAAAGGTTACTAAGTTACTTTGTATAGGCCCCTAGGGAGAGGAGGCATAGAAAAATATTACAATATGGCTTCATTAGTTACTACTCGTTTTATTGATTCTTAAGCAGATTAAGGGGCTACTGGATATGAAGTGGCTTAAATGAATGGCTTATAGCTCTGTCTTTAGTGGATAAGTAATTAAGTAGGTTAATAGCCCCTTAATATCTGATTGGCATGTAATGATTGAATAATAGACCCTAAAACATTTTTATCCTATAAAAGACAAAGAAATAAGTCATACAGTCCATCACTTCAGCCATTGTCAAATGGCCCCTTAGACAGCAAACTTGCATTTTATGACTTAGTTGTAAGGCCTGGTTTGTTAACATTCTTCTAATTATTTCATAAGTAGAATTAGGCAAGATATATGCATGTAAAAGCATGAGATGAAATCTTCTCTACACATTTACAATTTCTTTTCCTGGTTTTTCTTTACACACCAAAATGTGGTTATTAACTTGTTTGTGTATTAGACATCTAGCTTATTATGGAGGCAAAAGAAAATTCCTTTAGGAATCCTAATTCAACATTCTTTTTTTTTTTCATTTATCATCTTTTCATCCCACTTATATGGTAGCCACAAGCTTCTCTACTTGTAAGAGCATGGCGAAGTTAGCCATCCATTTGCAGAACTCAAGCAAGCAGAAGCTGCAAACCCAAGCACGCCTGATGAAAAACAGATGTGCAAAGGAGTGTCAGATAGATTGTCATCCAGTCTCCATAACCTTCATGCATACTACTCATGCATATGCACTTTTTAGTAACTTTTTTTATTTATATTTATAATTCTATTAAGTTGCAAACGACTCCACAGAAAACTATCTAAGAATACATAAAATTTATCTTTTCAGATGTACCACGTTATAACAAGAATAGCAGCAGGTTCAGCATATCAGGGACCCCATGACCATTTCTAATAACCTCTACCCAAGTAACGCTTCAGCTATAGCACGCACGTGTGCGTCAATTACCAAAACCATATTTTATAGTCTCAAATAAACCATAGAAATATCCTTTCCGTCATTTAATTTATGACTTGCATATGTAAGAAAGCTGCCACTTTAAATAATTTTAGCATGCAAGAGCAGGGGATCATGTAAGATAATTCTTTACATCACAATTTTCGAATCCAAATAAGTTTAAACTCTTCAGATTTACCGCAAGAAACGTTGCAAGTGGAAACAAACAGATTCCCTTATTGAACATAGCACCATACAACCAAAATGCAACCCTAATTCACATAGGTCTCTATAACTCCAAAGGGCTCAGAATTAATGGGATGTGCAAGGATTTTCAAGAGAAAATCAATTACCTGTTTCAAAGAATTTGGGTCCTCGAGAATTGCAGGATCTTTATCGTGACTGAGATTGAATAATTAACTATTAGAAGGGACTGAGAAGGGAAAGCAGAGGAAAAATAAGGGAGCCTGTTTCAAGATATTGACTTACAGGTGTCTACATCTTCTTCCGAAGGCCATTAAGATGACTGCTAACACTAAGCCTGAAACAAGAAACAGAGCCACCATGAGGAGTTCAGTTATCGTCCAAAGCCACCACTCCATGATCGTTACAGCGTCCCAACTCTATACGGACTACCGACTACGGTATATGGTATATCGATCTGTTAGTTAAGTTACTCGGGTTGATAATTTAGTTTTAATAACTTTTCAACCATTAAAGTCGTGTGCCCGTCTAGCTCAGTCGGTAGAGCGCAAGGCTCTTAACCTTGTGGTCGTGGGTTCGAGCCCCACGGTGGGCGTTAATTGATAGTGTTCTTTTTAAAGATTCAAATCACTTTTTTTTTGAAGTTACTTTTTCAGCTCCAGATAATCAATTGTTAGCTCATCACCCCCCCCCCCCTACACACACAAAAAAAAAAAACAAGAAAAAAGATGTTTTTTATACAATATATCCAAAAAATTTTATACATCAATGATCCAACTTTAAACGTTTCTTAAAATCACAAAATTCATTAATGAAAATAAGACAAACACAATCTAAATTATTGGACCTTTTCTTTTATTAGACACATTATACACCTCTACATAGGATCTACCTATCAGATCAAATAGAATCTATTCTATATACTTAAAATGATGTAGTTATTCATGTCAGTTTATTTTCTATCTTCCTCGCATTGCTTGTCAGCAGGCAGCAGCCCCCCTCAAAAACTTGTGGCTTTTTTTTTAATTCCTTAAATAAAAATAAAAACAGAAGTTGGACTATTTAAGCTATATGGCATCTTTTAAAACTAGCATATACACAAGTCTCTTCTAGATTACCAGTTATCTTGTTCTTAGAATGGGTGAATTGAATATGGGACCTACTTATCATCAAAAGTAAAATGATTGAAATATTTTTAATAAATCCTTTGGTTGCGTTTGGAAAGGATGCAAATAAGTGTGAATGCAAATATATAGAGTATAAAGTGGTTTACATAAATTACTAAGTTGGGTTAGTTTTGTACCAACAAATTTACCTTCTTATCAAACAGATTTTTAGTTGTAATGGATGCAAACACGAATTTTGATAAAGTATATGCCTTTTTTTTATCAAAAGTCCACTTAAATGCAAATTTAATTCTTTTTTATTCATGTACTTTTACATCTTATTCTCAATGTAAATATGCATTAACTGTCATTTATCAATGCATAAATGTAATATTACCAAAATACAAATTTACCCTAAACCAGGATTTACACTCCAACACAGCCTTTATGTTTCATTTTTCTTTGTTCCGACAGTGAGGATTTTATTCCATTAAGGTCTTTAAGTAAAGTGGGTGAAAAACAAGATATTGTGTTTTTCCTTACCCATTTTCATCATTTTGAAATATCGTTCCTTTTGCCGGTATGAACCTCGAGACTCGAAAGGGCATCTTAATAAATTAACTTCATCCATCCTGTTCACGGAAGGGAAAAGTTGTTGGACAAGCCTTTTGCTAGCTTCATGAGCCATATAGTTACTGGATCTAGCAATATCAAGGAAAAAAAAAACAGAAATATTACCAAAATGAATTAAAATATATTTTATTAGTTTATATCATCAAAAAGAGACCAAGGGATAGCCACATTAGATCCTTTCAACGCCAAGATAGCATTTAGGGAGTTCTGAGTCCACAATAACAAATTTTCATTCAGCCTTCACAGCACGACACACAGCCTGTAACGCCCTATAGTGTAGAACTGCCCCAAGTTCCACTTAAATGGATTCTTACAAAAGACCCAATGGACCACCTACACAGCCTGTAACGCCCTATACACACACTAAACAACAACAATAATAATAAAGGAACCCTTCTTATCCCTCTTATAACCGAGTCCAGATCTCCTCCCCATGTCTACCTATATATCATCACAACCACATATGTAGCATATCTCATCCTCCTACATAATATTGAGAGATATTTCCAATGCATGGTGATAGTATGTTGTGGATAAATATAGACAAAATTATTGTCGGCAGGAGATCCAGAATCCCTAAAACCACCTATCACATTATCCTACCAAAAGAAAACACCATTGCATTTAATCCTCAAAAACTCTGATTGCTCCGGTAATTTCGAAATTTCTTATGAGATTGGTCCAGAATTTTCTGACTATCGACATTTAGTAACTTACTTTCAAAGGGATAAATGATATCTGGGATAGTTCTAGACAAAAACAAAATGAAGTCAGAAAACGAAGAAATTTTGTTTTGATTAACAACCTATAAACTTTCCATGAAAACAACCTAAATCCATGCTGAATAAATAATTTCCAAATTTTATTTGACAAAGATCGTAAGCAATGCTCCAAACACAGCATCCGTTGCCTTGGTCTATCCAAGATATGCATGAAGGAGGTCCAAACTATATTTCATTACTCTAAATGGGGGCCCAAGCCCAATCTGTGATCCTAATCCAACTCCAACATATTGGCATCAGTGTTAGACTTGTTCAGCGGGCTCAAGTTTGCTGTGGTGTTCAACTGGGATTAAGGAGAGAGAGAGAGAAAGAGCCACTTAGGCACTAAATAAGAGGGGAAAAGTTGGTCAATGGGTATCTCTTTCCCATTAACCAACTTTACAGTAGTCTTTTTGTATTAGGTAATGAATCCTACCATAAAGAGAGCTTTATTTACCCGCATAGAATTTATCCATCGCTCAGATGGGTAACTTTTCCAATTAAGGGAAAAGTTTATAAAATATTATGGGACAAATTTGCCCTTTTAACATTCATTTTTTGGTAAAAAAAATCATTATATTATTTACATGGGAATAAAAAAAACATGGGTAAGTATTACCTAAGAAACATTTATAATTTACCCAAGTAAGTGAGAAATTTATAAGCAAATGAGACTTTAAAAAAGAATTTGGGAGAGCTGATGATCTCTATGAACCTCAAAAGTCACAACTCCCTTTCTTCATAAATCCATCATGGGTCTCCGCCAGAATTTTGATTTTATTTTTCCAAAATAGTGAGTCTATGCTGGGAGAGATAATCACTTAAAAGAAGCTGTTAATGTTATTGATTTGTTTCTTTTATGTCAAGAGAGACTTCAATTCATATATACAGCTTGTTGATTTATTCAATTGCCATATTTTGTTGGATGGCACCTATCTCTTGCCAACAAGATTTACCATCTCATGAAAGAGAAACATAAAGGCTTCAGATTGATTTCGGAGAAAAAGAGCATTTAAAAAATGCTAATGAACTAGTTTTGGGATCCCGCCATTACCGTTGCGTTTGAGTGCAAGATTCCATTAAATGTTGAATTGGAGGAATTACAAAGTTATTGGAAGGTACATGTAAATGGACCGATTGGAGCAAGCAAGTAGAAGATTCCGATTCCGCTATTTCAGACCCCAAATTGTAACGTAACAGGCTAACAGCCTAACAGGGCTCACACTCATCAGCTGGTTTAATATGCCATGAACATGAAGGGGACGAGTAATTATATCGATCAGAAAGTAACATCGTCCAAATTAACACAGGCACAGTGACTGACTACAACTTTTCTTTTTAAGGGCAAGTGGGCAACCCCACTTTGATTGATGCCTTGAACACTTCCCCGAAGGCAATCCAAGAGAAAGATGGAGATGGAGATGGAGAAAGCGGTTGAACTTGAGTCGCATCCATCACAATTCACAAATGAGAAATCTACTCCCCGGTCTACAACGATCCTCTATCATCCATAGCCAGCACCAGCAGGGACCACCATGAATTGAAATGAAACGATCACTGTAGCAGCAATTATTGGGGGGTTCCATTCTTTATTTCATTGCTTGGTCCTTTTTTAATTTTTTTAGAGAAAGAGATTCTGAAACTAAACAAACCAATGCCACTTGGGAACTGGGACCCTTGCTTACTCCTCCATTTCCCCTCCCTCCTTAAAAAAGTATGTTTTTAAAATTTCAGCAACTGAATAAAGGTGAAGGCATTGACAACAGGAGAAGACGAAAACCATCCTTTTTCCTCAAGGGATCCGATCGAGGATTTAAAAGCGAGAGTATAGTATGCTTATTCACTAGGATTTGATTGTTTAAAGAGGGATGAGAGAGAGAGAGAGATGCCAAGACCCCAAGACAGGAGATGTATCGTTCTAGTCTGGATCGCCTACACTGAAGTATTTGTATCAAGTTGTACACTAACAATTCATCAAAACTTATAGACCTGACCTGACTCTATAAATACAGTTTAAGTAAATGTGCAAGCTCTGAATCAAACCCTATAGCTATATATAGGGCCTATAACCACTGATGAGGATGTTAGGGTCTAACCCGATAATAATTGGCATCTATATTTTTAAACTGTAATATAATTTGCATCATAGTATAATAATATTACCATGAGAAAATATGTATTTTTCTATAATGAAAGAGAAAGTATTAGACAATGGGTATCTTTTTAATGTTTGGCATGCCCGCGACCGACCAATAGACAGCGTTACTTTGGGCTCATCACATTGATTTGGAATAATCCAATAGATATATGATGATAATATGCTTCCTAGGGAAGGAGAAGGACGACATTTCCATCATGTTGTGTGCATTGTAAGTAATTAAATTATATAGGCAACTTACATTATTAATTAATGTTCGGATAGGCATGCATCATACATGCAATGGGTTGTGAATTCTTTTCATTCCACTAGGTGATAAGGTTCATATACCGTAAGTGCAGCCTATAGCATGTAGCTCAGCCATCTTTTTTTTTTCTTTAATTTAATTTATAAGCTAATCTAATTTGTTTCTTTCTGGTAGCTAGGTCAATACATAAATGATACATAGATGGATGATTGATGGTGGTGGTTCATTTGGGGTCTGGTACTGGTCTATTCGGTGGATAACGTGAGCCTATCTATGTATGTTGACTGGCTAAGTACTCCATCATCCTCCATGGGGGATAAGAGATATGCAATGTGATATGATAGGCAAATTATTGTTGTATTACAATGCTATTGCGTATTCATTCACCTTAATTATTTGATGGGACAAATACATAATATAGTTACCTGCAACTTCTTATTAATTTCTGATTTTAACCTCCAGTATGCTGACTTTTTTATTTTTTTATTCTTCAAGTATATCAGCTGGGGAAAAATTAAAAAAAAAAAGATTGAATGGATGCATGGACATATGTGTGGCTGGCTTAATGCTTCACCTACTTAAATACTATCTTCTCCCTTTTGTTGTCTAGCTTACTGCAATGTGTAAAAGATCGAGGTACAATTGATGTCGCTGTCTGCCGCAGAATCATGCTCATCCATGACCGTGTGTCAAGGGAAGGGAAGGGGCCAAGGGGGGCCTTGATTTTGTTCCGTTTGGCACTTTGGTTGGTCACAGCGCCACGCATTTTCATAAAGAAACAACGATAAAGCAAGCATTTAGCGAAGCAACCCAAAAGTCTTCTTCCGCCCCAACTTTCATCACTAGAGAAAAAGTGGTGAACAGTAGGAGATTATGGAATTATGGATGGAATCACAACTATCTTCCACGCAACCCCTACTAGCTACGCCACTACAGTCTGTGGTGTCAACTCCTCCTGCTCAGTCCTCCTAGCTCCTGATTACGTTGAGAATATATATATACAAGACCATGTTGTCTTCTTAATTAATCTGGTGTTCCTTGATTTTATTAAGTAACAAAACTGTGTAACACCCTCCAAGTCCAAGCGACAGATAAAATGGGTGAGATTGTTTGGAAACCACTTTCTATATATATTAAAATCTTGCAAGATGATAACAACACATCTTCGATCTATTTCTCTTCTTTATTTGCATGTACTTGTTTTGTTTTTTTAAGGCATTTTGACTTTAGAAATGAATGAATACAACAATCAATTAAAAATATATAGACTATTATTCCAAAATAATTGAACTCCTGCCATTAATTAAGATTTTTTTGGGTAAAACATAAACACCCCACTTGGGTTTTCAGAGGAAAATGTTGACGCGTAATGCATTCTTTTGTGTGTGTGTTTTTTTTTTTTTTTCTCTCTCTTTTTCTCCACTCTCTTCCTCGTCTCTTTTTTTCTCTGCCCCCGCCCTCCTCTCTCACTTCCATGTTCTCTGCAGTGAGTGAATAGGAGAGGAGTTGAGCCATATCAATTCATAGTTTCTTCATTCTTTTATCTCTTCCCCTCCATTCTTTCTATCCTTCACACTTCTTTTTTCCTCTCTCCCTCTCTATTATAACTGAGACAACTAATCAGTTAACCACCGGTCATCGAATTAAGGTTGAGCTGAGTGTGTTTTAGGCATGGTTTTCAAAACCAGATCGGATTGGATGGTCAGACCAGAAAAATCGGAAACCGGTGACCTGTCCGGTTCCATTTTTTCCCAAAACCATTTTTTCTTCAAAATCATTGATTTTGGTCAGCAATCCATTGAACTGACCGATTAACCGTTCAAACAATTTTGACCATTTTTTAATTATTTTTAATTTTTTTATTTTTTTGTAAGAATGGACTGATCATTCTGAACGATCAGACCATTCGAACCGGTAACCGAACCCCTGACCGATTCAATCACCGGTTCAATTTTAAAAACCATGATTCTAGACATGTATTTGATGTATGACAAATTCATCGAAACCTCCAAGGATTTACACACAAGACTTGAGCACTACCCTTAATCCAAAAGTTTCCACCAGATTGGATCAATCATTATATTAAGTCCTCGCATTGCTTTATCTCTTTTCCAATATGAGATTTTCTTCTCATCCCAACATGGCATCTATATTCTACACCCAATATAATAACAAAAAGTTGGAACTGGGTTTACTTGATATTCCTTATAATTTACCAATAATAATTTCAAATTAATTGTCTAAAAATGTTATTTTATAAGAAATATATATATATATATATATATATATATATATATATGATACTTTTGAGAACTGAGAAAAATATAATTATCAAATCTGTTGTAAAATTAGCAGGTTAGAGCCCTTTTAGTTAATATCAAATATTATCGGGTCAAGACTCAAAGAATGATAAACTCAATTAATAATAATAGTTAGTTCTATACTGAATAGGGTCTAGGTGCTTTTTATTGGGTCGACATTATCTGCCCCAGATCCTACTGGCAGCCCAATTTCTAGTTTATATGTAAATTAGTGTTTTTGAACCATTGTTGACCTAGGAACCGTTCAAGCAATTGGTTCTTTTTCACCCTTAATTCAGTCATTGATCAAAAACCATTGATTTGGTTAGTTATTTGTAGATCCATTTAATGGTTTTGGTCATTTTTTATTTTTTAAATTAAAACAGACTGTCTATTCGAATTAGACGATCGAACTGTCAATCCAAAAACAACTTGCCATAATGGTTCCGATTTTAGGTTGGTTTTTAAAACCTTGATCTGAATGTCATATATTTTAATGAAAATTGAAATTATGTTTTAATTACACACTTCTGATTTCGTATTAAGTTAGGAAAAACAGGAATAAAAATATTTTACATAAATGCATTTATATAATTTTGTTTTTAAAATAACATTAATTTTCTATAAAGAACATTTTTACAACAACAACAAAAAAAACAAGAATTCATTCTAAAAAATCCCTAAATCATCGAGTTTATTTCCATTCCTGAGATAGTGGTAAAGTTCCAGTTCCCGATCTCCTTACAATATTTTCAGCACTTTCTTAATCGGATTTTTCTGCAGGGGGTTGCATTCTAGGGACCCTTCGGTCCACATTTTACATTCATCCCCCGATAGACCAATAACATCTCACCATGTCGTCTTAAATTTACGGACTATGATACGGAAAAGATATGATATAGGAAAAATAACCGACTAATAAACTGAATTCACAAACATAAGAGTAAATAAGGTGTTATTTATGAAAATTCATGGATAAGTTTTGATTGGTCAAAATTCTTTTTATATCATATCTTTTCTGCATTATAGATTTTCCCTAAACTTAATAGCAGTTAAATCATTTAAAAAAAAAATATTTTTTCTTATTATCTTCTTCCCCGATGTTCTAAGGATGATGGAGCAGATGTTGAAACAAGTACTAAGTGAGATGGGTTCGACCAGAATGGATAGCACCGCCAGTAACCAATGGCAGAGGAAGATCGGAAAACCCTAGGACTGGACTCTCAATGGCGGAGCAGTGATGGAACGTTGCAACGGGAAATAGGAGATTCAGTCCTTCCAGAAACTTCCAAATGCCATCCTCCGTTCATATTAAAATATGGAATCTAGTTTTTCCGGTTTCAATTGTGAAGATTAAGATGCTATATTCTCCATTCACATCAAAGCCTTTCCGGCCGGTATCATGTTTTTTCCGGCATCATATATAGATTTTCTTTGCGCTACGAACATAGTAGGGCCTGCTAAAACGACATGCATATATTAATATTATTGGCCATTTGCTAAGGGTGATCATGGGCCGGACTGGGTCGGGCTTTGCACTTATGATAAGGTTATAGCTTAGGCTCAGGCCTGGCCCGGCCCGAGGTTTTGGGCCTGAAACATAAGCCCTAGCTCAGGTTTATACAGACTTGGGCCGGGCCAAGCCTAACTTTGAGTCAATATCTTTTATATAAAACATTACATATCTATAATATTTTATATTAAATGACATAACATGCATATAAACTTATTTTATACATTATATAATATAAATTATACATATCATATTATACTATTTATATATAAAATACATAATTTAATGTAAAATAATATGTATATATATATATATTATACACAAAATGTATAAATTTAAATATATACAAATTGAACCGGGCTTGAAGTATTAAACTCAAAACTGACCCTAAAATTTGTAGACATGATGTAACTCTAAACCCAGACCGAACCTAAACATAAAATCCAGACCTAAGCTTAGAATTTCCAGGCTGATTTTCCTGTATTATATATATAATATATAATATAATATATATTCCACTTTCAAAGTTCCACCACCACGGTATTTGTACTGCGAAGTTTTCAGGAGTTGGACGAACTCGTTATTTAATTAAAATTTCATTAATTTGCATTCCTCAATTTCATCAACTTTGAAAAAAAAAACTTAAAAAAGAATTAACATATTCTCATTTAGGCCCCCGATGAAAAGATAGAAATATTTATCAGAAGACGTGGGTATTCACGAAAGTCGAAAGGTGATTTGTCGTTTTACTACACTTTAAACGGAATGAAGCTTTTGTTTTCAGCCTGTCACCGTCACTTTCATCAGTTAAAAAAAAAGAAAAAGAAACCAAGAACGTACGTACACGGCCACACATACATAAAGAAGAACTTAACATGTTAGTCTTGCCCTCCTGCCCATTAATTAATAGAATATGAAATAATTTATTTTCAACTATGTTACGGAAAAGATATAATATTCGTATGAATAGGTTTTGATTGGTCAATGAATTGAAATCATAAAGGGTAAATATGATGACAAATTAAGTATTATTTATTAAATGTATGAATAGGTTTTGATTGGTCAAAACTTTTTTCATATCATATCTTTTCGGTATCATAATTTTTTCTTTTTTAAAAATACCAATTAATAATAATTAGTTATTACATAGCTTAGCTCCCATTTATCATCATTCCTCAATAATTAATCGTTTCAAGCGAAATGTCCCTCTTATTTTTCCTGTTTTCTTTTTCTAGTTAAAAAAAAATTAAAACAAAACATTTATTACGGAATTATTGAGTGGGTGGGGACAAGGCGGGTCCAAGCTGTCAGGTGCGATTAATACGTGGGGACTTGGGAGGGTACTTATTGGGTTTCTCTGGTTAGTAGCCGAGGCCCGAGGGTTAGTATTTGGTTGGAACGATTTACAGTTGCCTAGGATGGTGACACGCGTACGGTGAAACACATCGTTTCCTCTCCTGAATGGCATTATAAATTGGAGTCAAGGTCTCTACCTGAAAACTCGTTCCAGAGTGTTCTGTGTTTGTTGAGATTGTATTTTCCGTTCTCTCTCTCTAATCTCACCCTCTTTTCTCATCTTCCTGTTCATATTCCCTGAGAAAATGTCTTGCTGCGGAGGAAACTGTGGCTGTGGCTCTGGCTGCAAGTGCGGCTCTGGCTGTGGAGGGTAATTTTCTGTTTATGTTTTCCCTGATAGTCCTGGTGTTGTGTTAAGTTTTCCCTTCTCTCTCTCTCTCGTGTGAAATCAAAAGTTGATTCTACTTGTTTTTTTTCTTTAATTTGAGGATGACTTATCTGGGATAGTTCTGTAATAGTTTGCATGATAGACCCTTAATGAGATTTAGGGAACTGGATCATCACCGGCTGTTTATTCCTTTGCTCCTTTAATTCATCCTTTCTTTTTTTTTTTTGTCTCTTGTGAATTCTCAATAATTTATAATTTTTTTATATGTTCTGAACTCGTGCTTCTCTATCTAATCGTCCAAACTAATTTTTTTCATTGTTTTCCTCCCCTTGTCAACATATCATGTCCTAATTAATTTTTCACTGATGTGGTTGCAGATGCAAAATGTACCCGGACTTCAGCTTCTCCGGGGAGAGGGCAACTACTGAGACCATCGTTGTTGGGGTTGCACCTCAAAAGGCGTATGTATCTTTCTCCTTGACGACTGGCCACACGGAAATATTTTAAGTTGGCTACAAAAGAAATTCTGCTTAATTTGATAATAACTATGGGGCTTTTTCTTTAAGTTAAAATGTGGATTCAAGAAGTAAGTTTCCATCAATTAACTCGATTATTAAATGTAAATGAAACATGTGATTGCAGATACTTCGAAGGGTCCGAGATGAGCTTTGGAGCTGAGAACGAAGGCTGCAAGTGCGGATCCAACTGCACCTGTAACCCTTGCAACTGCAAATGAGAGGAGGGCGAAAGAAGGGTTATATCTATGAATAACGTTGTCAGATAGTATGTGTGCGAGTGGGAGTAGGAGTGGGTCTCGTCTCGTTGTCGTAGGGAGTCTGATGAAGATTTCACAAATAAAGTAGCCATTACTGCTGCAAATCCTGACTTGGGTTTGTCTAGTGGCTACTTGCTAGTGTGTCATCTCCTCTGTTTAGTCAGAAAATCACAAAAAAAAAAAAGAGTGACTCAGTCACTCAGCTCTATTATGTATGAATATGGAATATGAAAGGAAGGGCTTTGTTAACTTATAAATTACGATGAATGAATGATGAATACTTTCTGCTAATCTGCTAATCTGCTAATGGTATTTCCTTTATGCTTTTTCTTTCTTACTAATAATGAACAGCGTCTGATCAACTTTGAACGGGAATTGAGCCCACCACTTGGGCACCACAGATCAATAGATCATTATCATTCTAGCTCTTTTTTTTCTTTTTGAGGAGGGTGTTAATTGATACTTTTTGCTGGCTCTATTTCTAAGTCCAAGTTAATTTCTGGAGATGGATAAATAATTATAGGGTAAATTACAGAGTACCACTTCACTTCTAATTGTAACAAAGACCCCAACTTTCGTCTGCAAATTGCAACAAAGAACTCTTAATTTTACTTTTTTTAACTTTCAAAAAAGATTTTGTGATTAAACATTTCTAAATTGTAGGACTATTTTGTCTGTTCTCTTACATACTTTGTATAAATAGTTTACTTGTGTTTCTTTCTTCTTCTTCTTCCCATTTTTGTTATTTTGAAATGTTGTTTTTTTTTATTATATCAAAAAAAAAAAGAAATGCTGTTTTCTTTTTCATATGAATTTTGAAAGGACATTTTAGTAAATCAATGTCTTCACCAATTCAAATAATGAAAGAGGAAACAAAGTGTCGGAATCTGAAAGTTGAAAGGGATCTTTGTCATTTTGATAAGTTAGGAGGCAAATATGTGTTACTATTCCCAAAGTATACGGTGGTAATGTATAATTTATCAATAATTGTACCTTCCATAGTAGTAGATAACAAGTCATTCAATTGAATCACTTGGTGTGATCAATAGGTTCGTTATCTTTTTAGTGAATAAGGCCTCGTTTAATGGGTTATTCTATTTCCTACTGTTCGGTTGGGCAGAATCGGAATCTCATTCTCATTCCTGCTGGAATGGCTATTCCCTGCTCCTCCCTTGAGAATAAAATTTCATTCCTGCTGATTTTAATTTCCATTCTCATTCCTATCTGAATCAAACAGACTATGGCAATGGACTATTCCGATTCTGACTATAAACCAAACGGACCCTAAGTTGTTATTGAGAAGGTTATAAGATACTTACACCATGGTTGGGAGTGCTTAAAAATAAGTGTTTATTAGGCCATTAAGTACTTATTGGTATTTGGGAAATAAGTCCAAAATAAGTGTTTATTTTAAAAATAAGGGTTTATTTTTTAAGTTCAAATTTCCATCTTTTTTAAGTGTTTATACAAACAAGTACTTATTCAATTTTTTTCTTCTAAAATTATTCCTAGTTGAATTTTAAAATACCACTTATAAAATTATCTCTAGTTGAATTTTATAAAAACACTTTTACGAAAGCATTTTTATAAAAAGTACTTTTGTGAAAGAACTTTTACAAAAACATTTATAAAAGCACTTTTATATAAAAATACTTTTACGAAAGCACTTTTAAGAAAGTACTTTTATGAAAGCATTTTTGCAAATACACTTTTATGGATAACTTTTACGAAAGCAAATGGAAAAAGTGTAAATTCTAGTGTAATTTTGTTTTGGGTTTTACTTTATTCTGCTTCATGTCTTAATTTACTTCATTTGCGCTGCAATCAAATAAAATAAACTAAAACTTGAAACAAAAATATGTTAGAATTTACACTCAAATCATTTGCACTGTCATAATTTTGCATTAGTCCAGATTTATTTGCATTGCAAACAAACACAGCCTTATAAGCAAAACTAGCGGGGACCCGTGCGATGCACGGGATTTATTAAGCAAAAGCTAAATAATAGAAATGGTCATTTACTAAAATACCCCTTATAGTTTCATGGATTTATTAAAATCTATCCTATAGTTAGCATTTTACTAAAACACCACTTATAATTTGCAATGGATTTAATCAATCTTCCATTAGATGACAGTGGAAAATGATAGTAGTGACCCTAATGTTGATTTAAATAAATTTAATCAAAAGAAAATAAAAATACCACTTATGCCCTTAATAAGACACGGGCAACCACTCTATTGGCTATATTTGGTCAATTTTGTTTTCTGTACAAAAAAAGTGTTAAGGGTATTTTTGGAATAAAAAAACATGGGCCTAATGGCAAAACAAGCACTCCTTAATGAAAGATTGATTAAGTAAATAAGTTGTAAAATATATGGGATGTTTTAGTAAAATGAAAACTATAAGGTATGTTTAAGTAAATATGTAAAACTATAAGGCGTGTTCTAGTAAATGACCCTAATAGAAACACATAAGAGTATACAATTGTTTTATATTTTCAACTTCTAAAATAATTAATAATTATTCATACTTTATATACTACTTTAATAATTTTTTTTATAATACAAAAAAAAATAATAATTAATTTCAGTTAGGTTCAAGGTTCAAAGTATCGGAAACGCAAGGTGTATCGGAAAGGCAATTTTAAGAGACGTATCAAGATACGCTTTGGAAACGTATAGATACGGACGAAAAATCAAGATACACATGGATACACTAGCAAATTCAAAACATCTTTAAAAAATATGAACAAAAATAAAAATGAGTTTTATGTGATTATAACTAATTTATTTAAACATAAAAAATCATTCATTAATGATTTATATGAAGTATTGGGATATAATTAGTAACCATTGAAAAATAATAGAAGAACTAAAATGAATGTGTCCCCTCTATGGACTATGATATCAAACACACTTCAAATTAAAGCCGGCCGGTAATATGTGTGGTGTGGATAAACCAATCAGGCTGCTAATTAATTTAATTCATCACTGGATTAGGGCATCATATATATCATTGTAAGTTTGTAACCCAAGTCAAACGTTCTGGGATATTTTCTTCTTTATTAAGTAGGTTTCCCATTCCCAATATAGCTTAGCTTCTAATGATATCAAGAATTAGACTACCTTGCAATGTTTGCCCCTTTCCTTTTTTTCTAATTTCCTATGGAGTATGGACAACTAATCAAACTTTGTGGAATATGGTGACAGCTAGCCTGACAGCTGCTGAAGTTTGACGATGGTTTGAAGTTTGATGATGATGATGATGTATTGTATAATGTATAATGTATATTTATATTTATATCGTACGTGTATGAATTAATTTGAAATATTTTAAATGGAGTACACTTGGCAACTAACAAAAAAAAAAGCAGCTTTACATATAATACAACAACTGAGAGTTTGAGTTCAACAATAACTCGATCGTAGGAGATATCTCGTCCACGATAGATATCCTTATATCATTACTGATGTAACCGTTTTTTGTCACGTACCATTTTTTGTGATGTATAAAATTTTTTGGCCAAGTACCTCGTTGTTTGACCCAGTGGTGACGTGCCTTGGTGATGAGCTACTTGGTGGCGAACTCCCTGGGGGAGAACTGCTTGGTGGCGAACTCCCTGGTGGAGAGCTACTTGGTGACGAACTGCTTGGTGGTGAACTGCCCGGTGGCGAGCTCCCTGGTGGAGAGCTACTTGGTGACGAACTGCTTGGTGGCGAACTGCCCGGTGGCGAGCTCCCTGGTGGA